CCTTCATGCCTCCTTGTATGCAGTAGCACCTGGTCAGTTATTGATTGACCAGGGAGCCTTTACATTTCACTGTGCTCCGGCCCCAGGAGGCAGGTGTCCAGAGCTCCCTGCCCCACATTCGGGTGGAGTCCTACAGTGTGTGAGAAGAAAACATTTAGGAATGAGATCAAAGAATGAACCAGGTTGGAAAAGACCTTCAAGATCATCAAGTCCAACCGTTCCCAGCCCTGCCAGGGCCACCACTAACCCATGGCACTGAAGCCTCGTCTACACGGGGTGTGAGCACTTGCAGGGACGGTGACTCCAGCAGTGCCCTGGGCAGCCTGTTCCAATGCCTGAGCACCCTCTGGGGAAGGAATTGTACCTCATCTCCATCTACACCTGCCCTGGTGCAGCTTGAGGCCGTTTCCTCTTGTCCCATCCCTTGCTCCTTGAGAACAGAGACCAGCCCCCTCCTGGCTCCATCCTCCTGTCAGGCAGTTGTAGAGAGCGATAAGGTCCCCCCTGAGCCTTCTCCAGACTAAACCCTTCCAGGTCCTTCAGCCCTTCCCCATCACACTTGTGCTCCAGGCCCTGCTCCAGCTCCGTTGCCCTTCTCTGGCCCCGCTCCAGCACCTCAATGTCTCTCTTGCAGTGAGGGGCCCAGAACTGAACACAGGATTCGAGGTGCAGCCTCACCAGTGCCCAGTGCAGGGGGTCAGTCACTGCCCTGGCCCTGCTGCCACACTGGTGCTGATACAGGGCAGATCAAGTTGTTATCACATTTTTAACTACTCTTTGTAATAAATGATTTGACAAAATAATAAAACAAACCAGGAATTAGCCCCCAACGCTGAATTGCACCTTTGTTTTCCTGTGAACTCTAAGCCTTGTTCTCTATTGTCCCCTACAGATCTTGGGAAACGTTTCCGAGTTCCAGCGAGTCGTTGGTGTGCTGCAGGAAGGAGTGGATTTTGATATTGATGTCAATGCATCTGTCTTTGAAACTAACATTCGAGGTGAGGTGGGCTTTTTCCACAGTGTTCCTGTAGGAGCCTCTGAACTATACACAGAGGTCATGCGAGGTCGGGGGCAGAGTGAGTTTGTAAATGCAGTGTGAGAGGACACATACACCAACAGAAAAATCCCAAACAAACGTCACTCTCTTCTGGTCTTTGCATGTCAGATGTGTGCTTCCTGCCTCAGTGCAAACAGAAGCAGACATGTCAGTTTCAGTATGCTGGCGCCAGGTTTGCAGCTCTGAAATAAACATCTTTTCCACTGAAACACCCCAAAGTGTATCATATTTTTGCATATTGTTTTGAAATAGGGATTATTAATTTCTTGCTTTAGTGTCGTAAGTGAAACTTGGCTGTCTTTATTGAAAATCAGAAGTCTTGTACCCAGTTGAATGCTGAAATCCTTCAGTGCCATCCAACTAAGACACTGTCAGGGAACAAAACTGTTAGTTCTGCTTTTTGTGTTTCTCCTATCAAATTTTGCGGAGCCAGTTTTGGCAGCAGTGTAATTTCTCTGTGCTGGCTCTGGCCTGCATGACTTCCTCCAAGGAATTTAAGATTCTATTATATAAGATGTAAAGTAATGCAGGGCACTGTAATACTTTATGCATAGTATTAAGCTGTGTGGAAGAAATTAAATTCCTCTCACAGAGGTTCATGTTCATTATGCTATTAGCTCTCTGACTGTCTGCAGGGCAGTGCAGGTGTAGAAGGGCAAGAAGGATCTGATGCTTCTAAACTAATGGAAGAAATAAATCTACCTGTTGTAAACAGGCAGGAAGAAACAAACCACTCTTCTTCTGTGGCATGTTGGATTAGGCTGTGTCCTGGTTGTTAAGGATGAGCCATCTCACTTTTCTTCCCCTAAACACTGCCCCTGCATCATGGTAAATACAAATTCTTTAATGGGATTCTTACTGTGCTCCTTCCAGTGGTGGGCGGCCTCCTCTCGGCTCACTTGCTGTCCAAGAAGGCTGGTGTTGAGGTGGAAGCAGGCTGGCCATGCGCCGGGCCTCTCCTGAGGATGGCAGAGGAAGCAGCTCGCAAGCTCCTGCCAGGTGAGAACTCGTGTGGTCTGTGTGGCTGTGCCATGGCTCACGAGGTGACTGGTGGGTGCTGCTTGATGTGGCAACTCATAAAAAGGTTCTGCATTCCCTGGGCTCAAAGCAAGTTTACTTCTCTGGGAGAACATTGTGAAGTGCATGACACCAGTTAGATAAATGCATGCCAAGTGTTACAAGTGCTTAAAACAGTGGTTTGTTTCTTGCTTGTTGAGGGGAAATGTATTTAAAATGAATAATAAATAAAGGCTGTGAAACAGCAGCTTGTAAAGACAAGATGATGCAGCCTTATCCTCCCCTCTGTGAGCTGTTGCTGGCATGTGTCCCTGATAGCATGGCACTGTTCCCTTGTGTGGTAGGCCCCCGGGGCTACCACTGAGCAATCATGCTCAGTGTTTGCGCTTTGCTATCCAGTGAGTTTAGTTCCCTTTTGACTACCCTGCCTGTGCTGTAAGAAACAAAGGCAGGGATGCAGTCTGCTGCTCTGGGCAGGCTGGAAGGGGTCTACAGTACCTTCCCAGGACTGTAGGTAGCTTGGGGAGCCCTCTGTGCCCCTCCCAAGACCACACTCTACTTCTCATTTCATTCTTTGCAGTTACAGCAGTTGCTTCAGTCCTGCTTCTTGCCTGTGTGCAGTGGAATGTGAGGCACATGTTTGAGAGTGTCAGACATAAGAGTGAACCCCAAATCTTACATTTCAGCTTTTCAGACCCCAACTGGGATGCCATATGGAACAGTGAACTTGCTGCATGGAGTAAACCCTGGGGAGACCCCAGTTACCTGTACTGCTGGAATTGGGACATTTATAGTGGAATTTGCCACTTTAAGCCACCTCACTGGTGACCCAGTGTTCGAGGATGTTGCCAGGAAGGCTTTGAAGGCACTGTGGAAGAATCGCTCGGATATTGGGCTGGTGAGTGAGGAGTAACTTTGAGTTTGCTGGCTTGCTTTTTGTGTAGCTTTGTGGATGCAGCTCTAAGCATAAAAAAGCATAAAGAGAGAGGAGATGGAACTAGATCAGTAACCCCAGTGCTAAGAACTGGGCTGAAGTTGTGTGTTTCACATTGTTCCCAAACACCTGCAGCATCCACATCTCTGCTTGAGTGGTACAGCCCAACATTATGCCATCGTTCTGCTCCAGAACAGATCAACACCTCCCACTGGGTATTGCTGGTTTTGTAACAGCAGCTCCAAGAGTTTAAATGAAGGATCTGTCTGATTCCTGGTGGGACAATGGCCTACAGAAGAGAATAAAGGCATGGCAAGTGCACCAAGATGTTACCGGCTTCTACAGCTTTGGTGGTTTAGGAATAGCCAGAGCTAGAAGTGTTACCTCTGTGTTCAGTCTTTCTTCAGCTAATTCTGTAGCTGCTTTTTGAAGCCATGTGAACTCCTAGTGTTATGTATGTAAAAGGAACAGATTTGTTGTATGCTGTACGAAGAAGTGTTTCCTTCTGTTTGCTTTGGGATCTGTTTAGTTTTGGTTTATACCCCTAGTCCTTATTCAGGAAAGAAACTCAGTTTTTTCATGCCAAGCAAGTCATGATTGTGTATTTTATACTCCATCAGCTGGGTCTGTTTCTAGGCTGCAGAGTCCCAGGTTTGAAGCTTCTATTTAAATATCAGCAAGGCAGCTCTCATGCCTTTGACATCCTTGGCTTCTGTCTCTGAACCTCTTCATCCTTCTCTACTCTCTTGTAGGATCAGAATTAGGACCAGTCACATCATGTTGAAATTGTGTGTTTGTACAGTAGCATAATGGTGTTTTGGTTTGACCAGTGCAGTGTTCATACTGGAAGCTTAAAATGCTAAAGTTACATTTTCTACAGTTTATACTTCTCTGATACTGATAAATGTATCTTGTCATGGAGCAAATTCTAGTTGGAATGGACATTGTGAATCTGAAATGGACAGTGTGAAGAAAGCGCAAAGGTGTCTTGTGTGGAGTGGGTGTTATTGTCCAGTAGATAAGCTTTATTTCCACTTTAACTCCCCTTTTCCTCCTCCCTTGCTTCTTCCAGGTTGGCAACCACATTGATGTGATCACTGCCAAGTGGGTGGCCCAGGATGCTGGCATTGGGGCAGGAGTGGACTCCTACTTTGAATACCTTGTCAAAGGAGCCATTCTCCTGCAGGACGAGGAGCTGATGTCCATGTTTCTGGGTGAGCAGTTTGTGTCCTGAGTGAAGAGTCCCAGGAATGGCTCCTTGTAAAAACTTTGCATGTGGGACTGTGGAAGATGAACACTCTAAGAGGGTACATTGCCAGGTTGGACAGGGCCTTGGGCAACATGGTGTGAGGTATCCCTGCCCATGGCAGGGGATTGGAACTGGATGATCTTAAGGTCCTTTCCAGCCCAAACCATTCAGTGATTCTCTGATTCAAGACTGTTCCTGAAGCCTTTGTTGTAATAGTTTTGAACAGCCTGTGACAACCAGGAGTTACCAAAGTGACCATCCTGAAAGTCAGTCATTTATCATGGTTCAAGTGAAAAAGTGGCTTCTCTTGCTCTTAAAAGAAGAAATATTTTTGTTGTTCTTGTTGGATTACCAACCCATCTGTGTTTCTCTATAGAATATAACAAAGCTATCAAAAATTACACGAAGTTTGATGACTGGTACCTCTGGGTTCAGATGTACAAAGGAACAGTGTCCATGCCTGTGTTTCAGTCCCTGGAGGCCTACTGGCCAGGTCTACAGGTAGGAGCTGTCATACCGTATGGTGACTTTGTTCATCTGTCTTTAATATAGAAGTTCTGAATAGAACCCTCATCTGTGCTGCTTTAAAAGTTTTGGTTGCTCTATGATGAAATCTGCCTTACTCTGAGCCAGTGGAAGAGCAGATGTTGGCTTTATGGTCTGTAAAAAGTCTCCCATTAAGCATGACAGGAGGGCAGTTCTGTTGTAGCAAACTCCACTGACAGTGGGCTCATAATCTAGATGGGAACCTAAGGAGAAAGCAAATCACTTCTTTTTCCACCACCTCATAAATGCTTTATTTGTATGAATCCTTTCCCATTCATGGTTTGCTTTCTCATCAGTCTTTATGTTTGGTCTGGGACTTTGTTATTCCCGTTGAAATAGACTGGATGCTGTGATTGACTAAAAGAAATGTTGACTGAAGAAACACAGCCTTCTAAAACTGAAAATCAAAGAGACTTCCTATAATTTCAGGTGTGTGGATTGTCATCCAACAGAAAAGCAGCATCTGTCTCCTCTTCAGTCTTGCCTGTTCTTAATGCATCATGCCCAAGTCTTAGTTATACCATTCAGACCTCCTGAACAAGCCATTTCTGTCACTCTCTCTTGCTTTGACTATAGCAGTGTTTTTGCATTGATTCCTGTGCTGTTTTTTCTTCACCCAGATGTTGCTTTGCTAATTGTTGCCTCTCTCTCAGAGCCTCATCGGGGATGTAGATAATGCCATGAGAACCTTCCTCAACTACTACACTGTCTGGAAGCAGTTTGGTGGGCTGCCTGAGTTCTACAACATTCCCCAGGGCTATACAGTAGACAAGAGGGAAGGATATCCACTCAGGCCTGGTAAGCAGAACTGAAATCAAAAAGAACATGGACTGCTGCTCTTGCTTTGGTGGTATGATCAAATGTTACCTGCTCCCTAAAAGTTCCTCCCTAGCTTTGCTTTGACTTAGTTCCTGCATGCGTTTTACCAGTGATCTCAATAGTCAAAGCTACACGTTTTGCTTCACAGAGGCAGGGCTACATTTAGAGGAAGCAGACAATAGTGTTATTATATAAATGGGGCATGTTAATGAATTGAGTTCACAATGTAAGGTTTGACATGTTTAAGTATTAGATCGTCCAACGTGGGATGTTTTTAAAGTCCTGCAAAACGTTAACATGACTCCTTGTGTTCTTTATATTTAGGAAGTGAAAGCAAGTATGGGCAGACCACTAGTTCTGCTGAGTTCCTGAAGTAAACCAATTCTAGTTGCACCAGTAAAGCTCAGCTCAGCATTTAACAAGGATTATATGATGTCTGTGATACTGCAATGGCATAATCTGAATAATTAATTTCCTTTTGGGCTGAGTGTTCAGGTGACATCCACACTCACAGAATGCCAGACTAATTTGTGTTGGAAGGGACCTTAAAGCTCATCCAGTTCCAACCCCCTGCCACGGGCAGGGACACCTTCCACTAGAGCAGGTTGCTCCAAGCCCCTGTGTCCAACCTGGCCTTGAACACTGCCAGGGATGGGGCATTCAACTTCCTTTAAACAAAAATGTTTTTGAATTGGACACTTGTACCAAAAATACTCATCAGTATTAACTTCTAATGTATTATAGCATCCCAAAATGTATTATAGCATCCCAATTTCTATAGTAAATGAACACAGCACAGTGCATACTTTGCCTATAATGGAGTATTTCCACAGTGCTTGCTTAGTGGTGTTTTGGATAGCCTAGTTTCAGAGTCTTACAGGATTAAAAACTGCATTTTGGGGGTTGAATTTCTTCATAATTCTTTCTAGAAGCGTCTTTCTTTTCTTCCTTTGACAACCGAGTTCTAATCTTATTCTCTTTTACTACCCTCCCACTCCCTGAATGTGGGAGGGGAGCATTATTCACTCTTACCTGAGCTGATGCAATCTGGTTGGAGTGAATTTCTTTGTAGCACATCCTCAGGAAAAGCAAATGCTTTGAGCCAGAGGAAATACAAGGCAAGCTGGGCTGTTCACCTTATCATCCTGAAGTAGTGTTTTTAAAGTAGTTGAAGGAATCTCTCTTCTTCCCAGTGTCCATGGCTTGGTAATCTTGATGCTTGCAAATGTCTGGGGGGGGTTTGCAGAGCTGATTGAGAGCGCGATGTATCTGTACCGTGCTACAAGAGATCCCACACTCTTGGAACTGGGAAGAGATGCAGTGGAGTCAATAGAGAAAATCAGCAAGGTGGACTGTGGATTTGCAACTGTAAGTGTTAAATCAACTGCTAAGTCAGCTGAATGGCTGCTAAATAGCAGCTTCTAGAAAGTGTTCTCAGAAATGATGCTTTGCCATTGAGGCAAGTGATTTGCTTTAGTTGAAACATGACTTCGTTTTCAAACAAGCCCCTTGTATTTCTCTGAAGCTGACCTGGTAACAGCCGATCATGTTTCTGGTGGTAACTTTCCTCACATCCTGAACAGTGGCTGAATTCTGGCATGGGCAGCAGAGCCTAAACATGAGAAAACATCAGCAGCTTCTCATGCCTCCTGTATCTTTCTAGCTGCTCTGTGTTCCACCCAGCAGGAAGGCTTATGTGCAGGCTCTCTGCCTGCTGGTTGCCTGCCAATGGTTCTGATTTCCCACTATGTCTTCAAAATCTGATCAAACACAAGGTGTGATTTCTCTTAACTAATTTAATAGAAGATTTCAAGTTCTATTTTACAGAAAAACTCCACATAAATGTTGGGAATTAAGCCTTGTGATCTGGGAAGTAGGTAAAAGCCTTATGTTGGGGTTTTTTTTTGGCAGGGAAAATGATGAGAAGCTTCCTTGCTCTCCTCCTTGCCCAAATAGGAAGTGCATTTCTCCTGCTTGCTAGTTTCCTGTTCCTTATCACTAGACTGTGCTAATTCCAAACATTTGGAACCTTGTTGCTGTATTTCATACAGCTGTTTAAAATACAGGGTGAATTGGTGCCATCCTGTGTTGTTTAACTGAAATGAATTGCTGGTTTTACTTTCCCCCCCTCAGTTCATGGCTTACTGAATTCAGTATTACTGTAACCCACTGTATTTCTTCTCCTGTAGATCAAAGACTTGCGGGATCACAGGCTGGATAATCGCATGGAATCCTTCTTTTTGGCTGAAACAATAAAATACTTGTACCTGCTCTTTGACCCAGACAACTTCATGCACAATGATGGCTCCGACTTTGATGTGGTGATTACTCCATATGGGGAATGCGTCTTAAATGCTGGAGGATACATCTTCAACACTGAAGCTCATCCCATTGACCCTGCTGCTCTGCACTGCTGTAGGAAGCGTAAGGAAGAGCAGTGGGAGGTGGAGGATTTGATGCGGGAATTTTACTCACTGAAGAAACCCAAGAAATTTACTTTAAAAAGAGCTTCGAACCATGGTGAAGGGGAAGGTGCAAAAGACCGTGAAGATGCTTCATCAGAGAAAGGTGAAGAGAAGAGGAACTCCAAGAGCTCACACTCTCTCCTGAGCTGCCCCAGTCAGTCTTTTAACTCTAAGCTTGCAGTACTGGGCCAGGTCTTTCTGGATAACACCTGATTCTGTTTTCCTCATCAATTTAAATTATTGATCTTGAGTCAGACTCTGGGAATATATTTTTTTACTTTCATAATGGAAAGTGTCGTTCCTCAGAATGTGGATTGGATCATGAAGTGGAACAGCTTCCCATTAAATTCTGCTACTGCTCATTCATCAAACGTGATTCAGATACTCAGCTGTTACTGCTATTCAGGCAACCAGTTGGTTTGAGATAGGCAAGTTATAGTTCAACGAGGCCAAGTGCAAGCTCCTGCCCCTGGGTCAGGACAATCCCCAGCACAAACGGGCTGGGGAAACCAGATGGAGCAGCCCTTGAGGAGAAGCTCCCCATGACCCAGCTTCAGTGTGTGCTTGAGCCCAGAACCCCTCTGTGGGCTGCACCCAGAGAGCATGAGCAGCAGGTCAAGGAGGGGATTAGCTCTGAGGCAGAAGCTGTTCCCTGTGAGGGTGCTGAGGCACTGGCACAGGGTGCCCAGAGAAGCTGTGGCTGCCCCATCCCTGGCAGTGTTCAAGGCCAGGTTGGACACAGGGGCTTGGAGCAACCTGCTCTAGTGGAAGGTGTCCCTGCTCGTGGCAGGGGATTGGGACTACATGAGCTCTGAGGTCCCTTCCAATCCAAACCAGTCTGGGATTGATTCCATTTTATGATTATTCCATTGTGAGTTTGGTTTGGGGTTTTACAGGCTTACACAGAGTCCACAGCTTACTTTGCTCTATGAAAATGAGCCTGAGCAGTTTCCTGTTATAGGGGGAAAAGCAGGGATCACGACCTGCATCTTCTGGGTTTGAGGTAGTGCCTGTCTGTCAAGCTGAAGGATGCTGAGTGGGAAGGAGAGCACTTGCAACATAGCAAAGTTCTTGGTTCTTGCATGTCTAGAACCAGTGTGGGTCAGTACTACCTCCCTGAAACCAACTTAAGAAATGTCCAGGTAGCATCATGTGCAAACTGGGGTGGAGTGTGGACTAGCAGAGGTTTGGTTTACTCTGCAAGGGAGCTTGCTTCCTTCTTACAGAATCTAACACACTTTTCCTATGGCATTTCCCCATTTCCTTCCTCTTTTAAACTTCTTTTGGGCCTCACTTGCATAACTCCGCATCAGCCAGCTCAGTGGGTAAAGTTGGCCTGAGGGTGGACCAGCTGTGTGCGTGGCATGCGTAAGGGTGGGATGGAAGGTTCAGACTGAAGTGCAGCTCTCCCTTTGGTGCAGGAGACAGCTGAGCATGTTCCTAAGCTCTGCAGTAGGCAGTGAGAGAGCTTCTGTGACCCTTCCTTTAATGGAAACCTTTTACTTAAGAGGTGAAGTGCATGAAACCTCTTGGATTTCAGCTGACCTGACAAACCCAAACCTTTAAATGTGTTATTGGTGTCTTTTTGATAGATGTATGCAAGGATTCGAGAGAAACCACTGGTGTTACAAAGAGGGTTTTTTTCTAAAGAGAGGGAAAAAGAGAGCAGAAAAGTAATGGACTTTCTTCAAGCCTGCTGGCAAGTGAGGAGTTGGAGCAGGCACAAACAAGCTATAGTCAGTAGCAGAACCAAGGGGCCTTAGGAGGTAAGACCTACCCTTAACATGGTTGGAGTTGAAAGAGCTAATCTCTCCACAGCTACTGTCCTAATGTGAATAATAAGAGAACATTAATTTTGGTTTGTTCCAGTATTTTGGAGCTGCTACCATCTTACTAAGACTTTCTTTTAACAAAAAGAACGGTGAGATGATTTCTTAGGATCCTTAGTAAGCTTTTTCTTTAAAAGGAAATGTGACTGTGTCATGTTAGCAGAACGTAGAGTTTTGTCAGGAACCCAAGATGAGATGCATGTTAAACACAGATGGGTGGTGGCAGCTTCGAATGGCTTCCAGATGAGGCAGGTCAGCGCTCAAGAGGTCCCACCTCCAGTGCATACTTGTGGCATCTGCCAGAGACTGGAAGTAAACCATGGGCTTTGCTTGGGTGGTGAAAGATAGAAGACAGAACCCAAATTTAGCAAGTACTGTTGATGCCATACTTATAACTGTGGTGGGTTTCTCCACCCTCAGCAGCCTGCAAAGCCAAAACTTCAGGCCAGATTTTCTGAGGTATTTTAAAAGCAGTTGTTGGTATTTGGACAGGCTGTGGGTTGATGAAAGGTCAGACCAACATCTTGTGAAATACTATTTTAATGGAGCTGACAAAGGAAAAGAAGAAAAAGTCAGTCCTTTGTATTGCTGGCAATGGCAAAAGACATACCAAAAAGCTGAGGGGGAAGGGGAAAGCGTGACAGGAGAAGCCCTGTGAGGAGGGACTGAGAGCAGCCCTTTGTGTCTGAGGCAGCATGAACAGGCAAGTGAACAGATTTCTTCAACTGCAGCGCTTAGTGGCTCTCTGTGAACAGCAATTTATCCAAACAGCAAGCCATCCATTAGCACATCTTGCTTTTTACAATTAAAAGTGTGATGATCATCCATCTGGCCCACGCATTATTCGTGGCAGGGAGAAGGGCTAGAAGATGTGATGCTGTAAAACTTTCAAATACATCATCACCTGGGAGCCGTCACAGCAGCACAGGTTAGAGGGTGCTCTAAAGCATCATGTTAATCCCTAGTGTCATTATCAACTTCTGTTATCCTTTGTACAAAAAAGGGAAAGTAAAATGGAATATAAATCAAGGTCTATATTTTAAGTGATTTTTGGGTGCCCATATTGTATGTTCCCTGTTGTCCCACTGAGCACCAGAGCTGGCAACAGCAGCCCTAAGCCTCTAGAGATAGCCAGCAGCAGTGGGGAGGAGTGTGGCTGGTGGTGACCATCGT